GGGGGCGAACTTGAATCCTGTATCAGCGCGCACCGTCGATCTATGCAGATCGACGACCAGAATCCCCCAAAAAATTAAAAAGCTACAAAACGGGGCCTACTGGAACCCCAAAGAAAATGCGCCAACCGCCGAAGACAAAGTTGGCACGTTTGGCAATTTTTTATTTTTTTTGGCTTTTTCTGCCTTGGTGCGAGAGGTGCCCGGGTGCCTGCTCGGGGGGGTTGCCTGGCCGGGCGCCCCGGGCGCCATTCCAGGCATGGTGGGGTACCCCGCGCGCCCAGGGTGGAAAGCTAGATCGGAACATGAATGTGAGATTTATTTTTTTATTCTTATGAAAAAAGCTATATTCTTCTCTCAATTTCACCTCACACTACCTACCTACCACTACTCCTAATTGTAGGCATGCAGGGAACCCCGTAGAACCCATTGGCCTCACTCATGTACCTTCCTGGGCATGTGTGGGGCCCACCACCTAGAGATAGACCACTGGATCCCCGATCGGCATTGAGCAGAGTCTGCTGATGTTCGTAGGGGAGGGGACCACCACCTGAGGGGAGGCACAGGGATTGGTCCTGTTGGAATGTGAGATTTTTCAGATCACTGTAGATGGCGGGGACCCATGTATAGTCCAAAGTAACCAGAATGAAACCTCGCCACATGGGCCATGGCCCCAGCAGGCCATGCGAGCTGGAATTGGTTTTTGGGGTAACTAGGGTGCAGTCACCATTTCAGTTTTAAATCCACTCCAGCCATGGGATCCCTGGAATACAACACATCCCCACCCGACCCTAAAACTGGGTTGTATACATTCACAATTTTCCTCGGTTTGGCACAACATTCGCCAAATAGCGACGGAACCTTCTTTGGGGAAACTAGGCAAGGGGTTTCTGGTACAAGCCGCTAGATCACCAACAACTACTAGGGTTTTTTTTTTCGTTTTTTTTTTGTTTTCGGGGGGGGCGGTGGGGCGCTGGGGGGAGGGGGAACAATGCTCCAATCTATTAGGGCCTCTCCACATCGATGTCGAAACAGCAAATTTTTCGACGAGTGTCGGACTCTTTTCGACATTCGGCCTTTCGACAAATTCCCGGCCTTCACCACAGCCAATGTCGAACACAAGGGATGTCGAGGCACTGCACCCGTTGCCCCTCGTTCGACATTGCTGTGTGGCGGAGGCGGGGAATTTGTAGAAGCCTCGGTCCACGAGATTCCAATGTCGGGAGAGCAGTGGGCCTCACGGAACTGCTCTCAGGACGTTGAATATGCGACTGAATTTGGCCTGCAACGTGGAAAGATACACAGACAAAGTTTTTTTGTTATTTTGTTATTTTTCCTTTCTTATTTTTCGCTCACCTCCAAGGCTGCTGCGTTTCTCTACACTGCTGTTGAAACGCAAGGAAGAGAAGACGAAGAGGTGTCAGTACCCTGACCCTGACAAATGTTGAAGCTCGTGCTTCTTTCACCACCTCAATTCCGATATGTTGAAACTCGGCCCGCCGCAGGCTGGCAGTTTCCACCCATGTCGAAAGGCTCTCTCCTCTGACAAATGTCGAACCCGCTTCTACATTTTTCCTTCACCAGTCTATGGGCACACTCACACTACCATGTATCATTGTCGCAAAATCGCAAATTTTATGTAGTTTTTCGGGTCACAAGAGGCACGTATTTTGTGTTTTCACACAAAAGAAAGGGCACGTAAATGTCAGCGGCCTGGACGGCTCCAGAGATCCCCACAAAACCGTATTTCTTTTTCCTCTACTGCTTTCTGGAAGCAAAAAAAAAAAAAAAAGGTGCATTGTGCTGTCTGACTGCAGACAACGTATTTTTGCATCTCAAGGCCAGGTCGCGACCCTGTCTTTACTGCTTTGGGCAACAAACGGGTGACCAGTGTGACCCGCAGGTGCCATACAAACGCAAATTCACATACGTAAAATTTGCGGAAGTGCGTGCTAGTGTGAGTTTGCCCTCTGTGGCGAAGAAAACATGTCGAAACTGGTGCTTTCCACATTGGTGTGGCGAGGCCCTTAGTCGGATGTTTTATGGACTTTTTTTTTTTTTTTTTTCCAAACACATCCCCTGCAGTGCTAGTGCTGCTGATAAGAGCAGGCATCACAAGCACCCGGGGAGAGGCGGATGTTTCATGGACTTTCCTGGAACTGAGGGGCAATTCGGCCACTGACACCAGTACTACTTTTCCCAGCATTTTTCTTTTTCTTTTTTGAAGTTGCTGCTTGCATGCCGGGGCTCGGCCTCCGGAGCAAAATGCCTGGCGGCGCCAGCCAAAAGGAGGCCTTCGCCTGTTCGTTTGTCTTTCGAGCGCAGGGGATTTCCAGCCCCGGAGAAAAGTGCCTCAGAAGTACTGGTGGTTTAACCATCGGGAATTTAACATGCTTTTTTTTTTTTTTTTTTTTTTTTTTTTTTTTTTTTTTTTTTTTGTGTGTGTGTGTGTGTGTGTGTGTGTGTGTGTGTGTGTCACAGTGTGTTTCGCCCACCTCCACCCCCAGTGTTGGGTTCCTGATATAATTATAATTTGTGTGTTTGTGGTGCAGGATGCTATTGCAGCCCAGGGACAATTTGGGATTTTGGAAGGAAGATCACTGGCTCTGATCCACCCCATCCTCATGGCTACCCTATTTGGTGTCACGGTGTATGCGGGCTATCTTGGCTGGCAGTGGCGACGAGTTCGTACCATTCAGGACGAGATCAATGCCCTCAAAGCGCAGCTGCCGCCCAAATCGGATGACGCCCCACCCTCGCCTTTGGAAGCACAGATTGCACAGCTGACAGAGGTCTGTATGCCTTCTTTCTTTCTTTTTTTTTTTTTTTTTTTTTTTTTTTTTTTTCTTGGGGGGGGGGGGGGGGGGGGGGGGGGGGGGGGGGGGGGGGGGGGGGCTAGCGAGGGTGGTACAAGCATCCCTCAGTAGTACCCCCCATTGCGGATGTTCCATCTATTGGTGGGGAGGCACCAACTGCTGGAAACTGGGTCCAGCGTCCCTTCTGTACAACCATGTTTTTTTGTTTTTTTTTTTAAACAAATTTTTTATTCCACCATGTTATAAGACCAGCAAACAGCTGAACAGACACCGGGGCCATCATCCGGTTTCGGCTATAAAGCTGAACTCCACAAACCCTTCAGATTTATCAGAGGTCTGTATGCATTGAGCTCATGTCGTTTTTGTTTTTTCCCCCCCCCTCAATTTATGCCTTATGCATGTTAGGCTTGCTTAGGGGCCATGCTAATCTTCTCAGTACCGTTCTGATTTCAATGGATGTCCCAAGGGACCATTAAACGCATGTCACGTCACGTCACGTCATGTCACGTCACGTCATGTCACGTCACATCATGTCACATCACGTCACGTCACGTAATGTCGTACTAACATCGGTTCCTTTTTGGAGTTGTTTTTCCCACTTTAAAATGGTGGTGGAGGCTGAGGTAGGGGATAGGCAGCAGAAGAGAGGGTAGAATTAACACCATAGATTCAAAAGCATTCAAAGTGCGCGAATAGGCCAATAAGCAGCAGGACCGTAAAGGCAGGTAGCAGGGTGAGGGCGAGGGAAGCAAGGGGTTATACAATGCGAGGGTATGAGTAGAGAATGGTGCAAGCAGTTAGTAAGAGGCGGACATACAGGAGAGCGGTCACCCAAGCAGGCAAGGGGAAAACAACTCGCTCTGGCAGCGTGGAACGAATCAGAGTACCACTTCGTCACCCCACAAGGAAATGCTGCAGTCCGCAGGCTCTGACCTTCCCAACGACTATATATAATCGTATATCTGTCTCTTATACACATCTAGATGTGTATAAGAGACAGAATCTTATCCAGGCGTCTACTACGCTTCTTTTATCCGAAAGGATTATCCAAAGTTTTTTTTTTTTTTTTTTTTTTTTTTTTTTTTTTTAACCGCCAGACCTTGCTGCGCTTTGGGGGTAGTGCCCAAATCTGGTTTCGGGGGGGGGGGGGGGGAGGGGGTGCAGGAGGGGGCGAATTTGAATCCTGTATCAGCGCGCACCGTCCTCTTATACACATCTAGATGTGTATAAGAGACAGGTGCAGGAGGGGGCGAACTTGAATCCTGTATCAGCGCGCACCGTCGATCTATGCAGATCGACGACCAGAATCCCCCAAAAAATTAAAAAGCTAC